GCCACTATGATATTGCAGTGAGTGATAAACTTTAAACCTGTTAGCAGATAGCATATGAGAACTATCTCTAAATAACAGGTGCTGACTTATACTTTCCTGCTTTGTCACTCTCATGTTTTTACAAAGTTTATTGTATATTTTTAAAAAAATAAGGTAGAAAATTTTAGTACAAGTGATTGTTAGAAAGAGTTGATTTTTTTGTATTTTTGTTTTTTCTTAATATCAAATAATATATAGAATTAATTCTATATAAAAATAATATGACAGAGTAAAACCTATGATGATTATCTATTTTATATAAAATCTGAATTGAGTATATAAAATCTGAGATTGAAAATCAAGTCCTGTAAAACCTAATATGAATAAGATGAAATCTACTTTTTAATAATATCAAAATAAAAAACTTTAAGTAAAGATATCTTGACAATCATCTGAACAAATTTGATAAAAATTTTTTTATTTGAATTCTATGAATTTATAAAAAATTTTTTATAAAATTTAATCAGATAGTTATCAAAATATCTTTGCTCAAAGTTTTAGAAAAGATAAACTGTCAATTAAAATAGAAGCTATGCCAAATTTTTTAAAACTTTGACTTAAGATATCTTGACAACTACCTAATCAAATTTGATAAAAATTTTTTTATTTGAATTCTATGAATTCATAGAATTCAAATAAAAAAATTTTCATCAAATTTGGTCAGATAGTTGTCATGATATTTTTGATCAAAGATTTGTTAAAACTTTAAATCGTATCTGTTATATGATACATGTTTTTAAAAATTTTTTCAAAAATTTTGATTTAAAATATCTCAATAATTACTCTATTAAACTTGATAAAATTTTTTTATCAACAACTATTCTATTAAACTTAATAAAATTTTTTTATTTGAATTCTATAAATCCATATAATTCAAATAAAAAAATTTTCATCAAATTTTGTTAGATAATTGTTAAAATATCTTTGTTCAAAGTTTTAGAAAAATTTGACACAACTTTTATTTTAATAGACAATTTGTTTTTTCCAAAACTTTGATTTAAGATATCTCTACAACTACATTATCAAATTCGATGAAATTTTTTTATTTGAATTTTATAACTTTATAGAATTCAAATAAAAAAATTTTCATCAAATTTGATTAGATAGTTGTCATGATATCTTAAGTCAAAGTTTTAAAAAATTTGATGCAACTTCTATTTTAATTGATGGTTTGTCTTTTCTAAAACTTTGAGCAAAGATATCTTGACAACCACCTGATTAAATTTTTTTATAAATCCATAGAATTCAAATAAAAAATTTTTTATCAAATTTGTTTGAGATATCTTCGCTTAAAGTTTTTTATTTTGATATTATTAAAAAGCGGATTTCACCTTATCCATATCAGGTTCTACAGAACTTGATTTTCAATCTCAGATTTTACATACTCAACTCAGATTTTACATGAAATAGATGATCATTGCAGGTTTTACTATTTTGCAACTCAGGTTTCACCCTGTCGTATTATAATTATTATAAGTTTTTTCTTTACTATTTCAGTACAACCTATGCATATAAATACAATGTCTATAATTTAGCGAAAAAACTTGATGGTACATCAACTTTAAAACTTAATAACATTTGAGCATAAGTTTTTCCTTGCTTATCAACATTCAGAGAGCTTAATCCTCCCCCATCTAATATATTGCAAAAGAAATTGATAAATATTGATAAATGGGTGTAATAAAATTATAATAAATAAAGAATTTGTTATTTGACGCATGTGCATTCAGTAAATCTCACTATTAAACCAATTTGATGCACGATGGCACATGTAACGCGAAGATAAATTTCACCTAAGGAACCACTTTAGCATTCTAACAAAAAATATTCCTTGTGAAATTTTGGTATACAACCTATTCCCTGACCCTAACCCAAGCCAGGAATTAGTATAATAGGATACATGAAATGTACCGATGCGCCATTTTTCCTAAACCTTATGATAAACAGTACTTACCTAGACATCTAGTTAACACAAAATTCAACCCATTACAACCAGGTAATTTATACCTCTTAACTACTCCTTTACACAAATGGATCATATAATCTTTGACGGCCTATGACAACAAAATATATATTGTTAATCAAAAACTTATAGGTGGAATTTATGAAAATAAAATTTATAATTAACCTCTTCAGTCAATGAAATTTTCAAAAATGGATAGTATTTGGATTCACGTGCCAATATTCCTAATAATATAATTCAAATTATAATAATTCCATAACATAAAACATTTTAAAAAATTAAAGTTATGCAAATTTGCATAGTAGTTGTTTTATCTCAAAAACGCTATAACTTATCCAATAAAATAAACCAGTTATTAATTCTCGAGATTGGATCTGTTAGGACTTCAAAAATAACCTTTCCATACTCTTATTTTATGTGATATCATATAACTTGTCATTCAGTGATGTGACGGGTTTAAAGCATTAGTTTATATGTATATAGAACATTTACTCACCAATATTACAAACATCACCCTTATCTCCACTTCTTCCCCATGCCAATTTTATTAAAGGTACTTTAATCATAGCACCACTGCTAATTTCGTCATACACTTTATTTGAAAATTCTGGTAACGGTGGTGGTATTGTATTGCCATTATGAGTAGGACCATCAAAAATTACAGTTTGTGCTAATTTATTTCCAACAGTAATAAACGATGGAACTAAATCCTTTGATATCAGACATGCAAAGTGTACAAGACACGGTGAAGGATGCGGACGTCCAGCTCCGCTTCCTTTATGAAAATGAAAATGGAATAATATAATAAGTCAAATTATATAAAGTCCATCGTATAGGGACACAAAATTACCAGTAATTCCTGGTGCCATGCTAGTAGCTGACTAAAGAATAGTCCAAGATTAAATAACCAATTACCAATATATATAAAATTAATGAGAATTGATTTGTGCTTACAGGAGCAAGTTCCATCCCAAAATACTTTAAGGCGTTTAAATCGTCGTGATGAACTGTAATATTTAGTACAACTTCACGGGTATCACGGGTCTTTGCATGGCCTCTAATAATATAAATAATAATAATTAGCATAGTTAAATTGAAATTCTGAAGAATAAAGCACATACCCATAAGTATGTTCAGCTCCCAATACTTCGACGTTAACATTTCGATATTGACTCAATCCAAGTTTAGTAAACAGTACGCGCGTCTTCGTAAGGATGGCGTGTGCGACAGCTGCTGCCTAAAGTGATATCAATAATCATGAAATTATATCAGAATATAAGTAGCAACAAGGTCATACCTTTCTCCAAGCATCAATGCCACCAATAACTAATTGTCCAGTCATTTTATACCCATCTAAATAAATTCCCGAAACTTTCAAGTACTTTGTTGGCGCTCTACCTTTTGCTCCAGTAACTAAAACTTTATTTTCGTCAACTTGCTTCAACTTTACATTTCTTAAATCCAAAATTACATCAGGCAAAATATATGCGCCAGGGTCTAATATTTCATACAACATTTGTTCACCAACCGTCGCTGGTGTCACAAGTCCACCGGTATCCAT